CCCCCCCCCCCCCCCCCCCACAGGCCTCCAGCATCGGAGCCACCCCAGAGCTCGACACCAAGACCACTGCTGCACACGTGGAAGCAAACCACGCGGGGGACACCACAAGCTTCATGCAAGCGAGGCCGCCCACGACATTCACACCACCAGCCGAGCCCACTACCACGCCTTCGGGCCAGGGCGTTTCGGCCTTCATACCCCTTCCAGCGTATTACTCGGGCACATTTCGTAGATGGAGAGCCGACCCAGGATGCTAGGAAACACATTGGACATGCCTGTGCGCACCAAGAAAGCCAGCAATGAACAAGTGCACTCGACAGACAAGAAACTAAACGATCAATCTTCTGAAGTGAGCTCAAAAAAATTGTGGGAAGGACTGTGGGACCGCACAAACCAACACTCCAGGCCGTGCAACTCCAGCAACCCACAGATCTACAACCGCAGCTTCTGGAAGGGCTTGGTGACTTGGTGTGTAGGATCGACGAAATCCACAACCACAGTTTCTACAAGGGTGTTTTGCGCGCATGACCGGCAACACAAATAGCAAAGCGACCAAAATAGCCACCAGCCAACAACACTCGACATCACCAAAAACCAGAATAATCAAAAGCACAAAAAGCCAAAACCAACAAACCGTGATGCCATACCTGCGGTAGGCAAGTTTTGTGTTTGGAGTTATATATTTGTTTTTTACATGTAGTTATGTGTTCTTTTGTGTTATTTTGATTCTTTGACATCATTTCGTAACTTGAACCCACATGCGACAGGCCAGCCTTGCTATTGTCATTTCGCAGTTTATATGCGGCGACAAGCTCTAACATACGTCGCAACAGAAGCACGGGGTTAACTGGTTCCGCTCTTCTTGGCAACAGAACCCGGCCGCGAGGACTATGGTCTACCTGCCATCCCTCGTGGCCTTGCTGTGGCAGCACTCAGCTTTCCGTGTTTAGTAGCGCATTCAACGATATGCCGGTGTCGTTCGAGACGACGGTTGGCAGCCCAGGCGAGACTGCGCGAAAAGGTTCAGTGCCGAGTGACGTTGCGTCAGCACATGTACACATCATAGGACGAACCTAAATGTCTCTCCGGGTCAGGACGAGCTCGTGGCAGTTCGTACTGAGACGGTGCCGCATCAAGCAAGTTTCAGCGAACGTAAAGGATTTTTGCGTGCTGGGAGCCGTTTGGAAACGGAGGTGATAGGCCCCCTTCCTTGCAGCCCAGGTGCGCGAGCGGTGGGACGTTTTATCGGCCCTGGGGCCAGGGACCATGAGAAAAACTGCCACCAATACAACGGAGAAAGCCGGGACAGCTGCAGCTGAGAGCGAGGCGTCACAGTGGGTGATCGAAGGAAAAAACAGAAACCGCATTCGGCTTCGAGAGACTGTGTCTAGCCAGCACCGTGCTTTGGCGGTATGGATGAAGGTTGTCAGATTTTGGTATGTGCCGTGTCAGCCTTGGCAGATTGAAGCTGAGCTGGAGAATGAGTAGCCATTGCTCCATGCAGCCTCCTGATGATGGAGGAAGCAGCACGTGGCTTGCGGGGGAGGGGCACGAAAGCATTCTGGTGCTCAGGAGCCTTTGCTAGCGATTTGCCGGACAAGCTTGGAGCTGCCTGAACGGAGTAACGAAGTCAGGCACCGGGCAAAAATGTTCAGACGGCAGCCTGCCGCCTTGAAGTCTGCGCAGGTGGAATTTATGGAGTCCGAAGGACCGCTCATGGCTGGAGGAGCTCAAGGAGCTCTGGCAGGCGGGGGCCCGGGGCTCTTCACTTCTCGCTTTGGCTGTTGGCATTGCCAGGATGCCGTCTCTCGTCTTGAGAGCACGCCGCCACAAAATATGATTCCACGTCGGATACATCAGCGCCCCGGCCAGTTTCGAAGCCGCGAATCATGTCCCGTGCATGCGACGGCTATTCAGGATCTGGTTGGGCCCTCGCCGGTGGCCAGAGCCCTGCGAGCGCTTTGCAGGGGAATGGAAGGCCCGCCCACGCCTCAGGAAATCCTTCCGGTGATGCAGTGGTCCCCTCGAACCCTTGGTCTGAACTGTAAGGACACCCGACATGGGAGTACCGCCTCTGGACGGACGATGATGCCGGGGAGGAGCTGAGAGGTCACCCTGGCCTCGCCAAGGCCCCCTTTTTCTGTACGAGCGCCCGCTCCTGCCGCTGGAGATGAAGCCATGAGAGGCCTATGAGGCAGCTGACAATCCCGCAGAGAAGAGCGACATTCTCCGCCCTTTGGCCCCGAAAGCATGCTGACGTCTTTCCCACTTAATGTGCGATGTGAGTGGCACATGCAGAGAGAGGTTTGGCCATCATTCTTCGCCATGGTGGTTTGTACGTCGACGTGGACTGATACTCTCTGTTGCATGGGTCGTAAGTTGCTGCAAGATGAGTGAGGGTCGCCGGTTCCCGACAGGACTTCGAGTGCTTGAAGCCTTTGGATGTTCTGCACAGCCGAGCCTCTTTCTACTGCGGTCTCTCGAACGTAGTGGCCCCATCGTGGCCGTAGGTACAACCAGGATGGAGAGACTTTGATCCTTGAATCACTTGAGCTCGTCAACTGAGCGAGGTGGGCGCAGTCGAGGTGAACAACGGCCTGTTCGCTGCGACCGCGGGGTGGGGCTCGGTGGCTCATGGTGCCTCCCTTTCAGCGAAGCCGATGGCCTTTCTGGGGAAAGGCATCCGCTGGTTTCCTACCTCTGCGATCATCTGGGAAAACCCTGGCCTGAGTGGGGACAGGAGCAGGGCAATCGGAAATACTCAGAATCAATCACGCTCCTGTCGGACCATCGCTGCTGATCGTTGAGCTCAAAGGACGATGTTGACCCCAAAGAAGCTGTCGCCTATCAGATCCAGAGGTGCGCATGACGCAAGCTCTCGTGCGAATTCTCGGATTCGGTGGACGACGCCTGCCAGGTCAGGAATGCTGGAGATGCCATCTCTGCAGGCTGGTGGCCAGGCAGGACACCACAGCACAGGTGCTTCTTTTGTGCTTTATTCTGCCTCTGACATGCTCTGTCCATGCCTCAGGCCGCGTTTCTTGCCACCACCGGACCGGGATTCTTCACCCGTGGCCTTGTCAAGGGCTTGCGCTTGCTCAGAGGCAGCTGTGCTGTGCTGCCTCACTGGGACTTTGAGAGATGGCTTGGGGTCCTGCAGTTCTGAAGGTCAGAGAGACCTGGGGCCTATGTTGGTTTGCCCACCGGAGGCACCATGTTTCATCATGATCACATCCCCTCTTCGTACCTTGCGGTTCCAGGTTTTCTATCCTTTGCCCAACACGGAGCGGGGAGTGTCTGATGCGGAGTTTAGGCAGGTGCCTGTTGTATGGGGCCGCACTGTTCAGCTAACGTTTGCGCCAGGATGCCGTCCTCGCTGGCGGTGCATCATTGGTTCAGGCATCATTCCACAAGCGTTGCAGTGCTAGTAACAAGTAGACTCAAGTAGACCGCATCCTTCACGGACGTTTACTTCTGAGTGAGTTTGGCATCATTGGTTTCTGTCCAGCCTCTCGAGCAGAATTTCTGTTCTTCCATACCTGGAGAGGACTTGGAACGAAGCTGAGAGAACGGAAGCGGAAGAGAGCACCGCGGTGCTGAACAAAAGTGTGGCCTTGCTTCAGAGCGAAGCTTCGGTGTCCCGTGGCATCCGTGGCGCTGCACAGCAAACAGCTTTTTCATTTCCCCGATTATCTGCGCGGTCGGGTTGTGCCGAATGATCAAGTATACTGAATACTGCAGACAGCATCCAACGTCGCCAATCATGCCAATCATGATGCAGCACATTGGACTAGCAGCCGGATAGAATAGTCGTAGTTCGTCAGTCGCCAGACAGAACGGATTGTTGCTTATTGTACACGGGCTGCAGCCGCACTTAGTGTCCCGTGCGAGCTTGAGCGCCAGATCGTCGGGCACTCGGCGATATCTCGAAAGCAGACAGAACGAGCAAGACGCAGTGCGACAAGCTTGCTTGCAGCGTAAGGGGGCAATGATGGCCAGCCGTGGCGGAGGCAGGCAGAGGATGCGGAAGGATGAGTGCATAGGAGACGTGCCTCATGGCCTCGCATGCCAGGATTCCTCGCCTTCCTGAATCGCTCCCGGCAAAGGTACGAGGAGGCGAATCCAAAAACACGCCTTCCGCCTTTCGCGGCCTCTCTGAGTCTCTCGCTCTGGGAGGCTATGCGGGAGGCCGAAGCCGAGAAGGTGGAGGCAGTGGCATGCGTTGGCACTGGGATCTTCTTTCAAAAGGGCCGACGCGATGCCCGGGGTTTTAGCACGTGCGGGATGGAGAAAGCTCACGATGGGCCAGCCAGCTCGAGCCTCCAGTTCCAGTTCTAGGGATCGGAAAGGACTCGAAAAGGCATCGACGAGTCTTCTATCAGATGACGCGTTGCTGTCAAAGCGAAACTCTCCGACTGGCTCCGGCTCCATGAGATCTCCGCGGCTTCTGCGGCAGCTTGAGACCAGGTGAAAGTCACATTTGTTTCTCTTCCGAGATCTTCCGAGAAATCATCGCTTTTCTTTGGTGGCAGGGCGCAGTGGCAACGGGTTCTGTAAGCTCATGGCTCATGGTGCTCGTATCGTGAAGCCGGACTTGGCATAATGGAAAAATGAGCGCGTCGGGATACATGCTGGCAAGGCGTTGACGGAAGCTGTCACGAGCCATCATTTCGTTGATTCCCAGGTGTTCAGAAGTCTCGGCAGGGGTGATTTGAGAACTTGTAGTTGTTGTTCCTTCTTTTTTGAGTTCTTGGGAGTGGCCTGTTTGGTCATCGCTTTTGGTATTTTGGTTTCCTGTGAAGAAAGCTATGTCAGCTATGTCAATTTCTGGCTTTCTGTACTCGAGCTTCGGATGTAGGTAGTCCGAAAACCGTCTTCGCAAGTGAGCTACAGGCAGTATTCAGTTTTCAGCGTTGTTTTCTCGGTTCCGACTTTACAAGCAAGGAATGCTGTGAGCTTTCGGTGTTGTTTGGCTTGGTTTTCCAGGCCTCCAGATCAGAGTACAGGTGCCGAGAAGGTGGATGTGGAAGATTGTTCGCATGTCTTTGAGTTTTGTCGTTCAACCCCTGACGAAAACCCGCTTGTCGGGAGGGGCTGAGGCAACAGCTCAGGCAAACGTTTCGAGTTTTCGGAAATGTTTGCATGTGGGCTATTTTTGCGAGAACCCACGTGCGTCAAGGAAGGATGGGCGCCAGTTAAATGCTTTCTCATAGTTTGGTTCCATCATTCCGAAACGCCAATGCTGGCCAGAGAGCTATCTGTCTCTCTCTCTCTCTCTCTCTCTCTCTCTCTCTCTCTCTCTCTGTATATATATATATACTAGATATATATACCTTTACACAAAATGTGCATATACCTACCAGTCCCTACAATTTGAACCTCAGGGCTTACACAGTTTAGGTTTAGGGTTTACACGGTTTAGGGCGTAAGGCTTCCAGGGTCAGGGGTTTAGGGTTGGTGCGGTTTAGTGTTTGGGCTTTACACGGTTTAGGGTTTAGGGCTTACACTACACGGTTTAACCACCGCACCCAGAAGCTGAACCCTCCAAAAAGCTTTTGTTTGCTTGATTGTGAGGTGCCTTTTTTGGTGCAGAACACTAAACAACACTTGCTAGCCCCAGAGCCTTAAAACTATTTTTTCTTGCAGCCAGGCCTCCTGCGGCTCAAAGTCTGCAAAGCCCTAAACCTGAAGCAGTGAAGCCTCAAACCTCTTCCTCAGGACTCTTCCTCTAAACCTTAAACCTCTTTCCCTGAAACACACTGTTTCTCGAAACAAAATAAATAGGTTTCGGTACCCATTTACATCCGAAGCCCTACACTCTGAACCCTAAACCCGATTACGGCTTTAGGGTTCGCCCTTTGAACATCAAGGTTTATGTTTTGAGGAACAAGAATCTAATTGGCAAAAGCATGAAACGACCTTTATGACTTGATCTCGTGCTAATGTAATCGGAGAATCCTCTCTACCTTCTTTAAGTCCTGAAACCTAGATCCTGATATTCATATTCAAAAAGAAGCTGCTAAACTTTTCCTGGCCTAGATTGAGTCTTGCCTTCGTCTTCCTTCTCAATACATATGCCAGTCCCTTCAATCACACCCTAGGGCTTACACGGCTTAGGGTTTAGGGTCTATATGGTCTAGGTTTTAGGGTTTACACGGGTTAACCACCGAACCCAACATCTGCATCAAAATCCTCCGCAATGCCTTGTTTGCCTTATTGTACGGTGCCTGTTTGGTGCATCACACGAAACAGAAAACCTGTTAACCTTATAGTTCTTAGCCCTGAAGCTTTCGAGTCCTAAACCCTAAACCTGAAGCACGCACTGAAGCCTGAAACCTCCTCCTCTCAACCCTAAACCTATATCCTCAAAAGGCTGTTTCTGGAAACAAAAATGGGTTGCAGCACCCGTTCACAGCCCCTGCCTTTCAAAAACACAGATCCCTGAAGGGGGGGGGGGGGTAGAATATTTATACATAAATTGATGTGGTACCCCCTTCAATTACCAAGAGATTCCAATAGATTCCTATAGTTTCCTGTTGCAAGTACCATGTGGATATGTATGTATGCACATGTAGCATTGGACGATATCATTGCTTCATGATGTCTTGAGGGTTAGCTCTTCGACGGGAGAGGGAGCTGCACTGGACGGTTTTTGGGTTTCTGTTTTGGTGGCATGCGCGTTTTTCGCTCCTTCGGGTGCCGGGGCTTGGTGCTCGTTTTGTGTTTTTGAGACTTCGGGTTTTGAGAGATCGGTCTTGAGACTTCAGGTTTCGGATGTGGGGGAAAGATGACGTTCTGTCCAGACTTCACAACACCCGTTCGGGAAAGTCTGGGGGGATTCTCGTTTTGTTTTACAGTCTTTGGCTGTCTATGTCAGCGGTATCGCCAGCTTTTTCCGTTTGCAAAGAACGCGCAAGAGTGGCGCTTTGGCTATCTAGCTCTGTTCGAAGGATGACAGGCCTTTTTTCAACGTTGGTTTTCAGTGCCCGTGCTTGGACGGGAGCTTTGGGTTCTGATGCAGCATGAGATTCCGGCTTCCAGTGCTCCGACATGCTGGAAAGGGAGCTGTGGGCGAGGAGTTAGTGAGTGCTTTGTCTTTGATTCCAGTTTGTAGTCCCTCCCGAGAAAGCAACGCCGGAGGAACAGTTGAGGTTTAGTTTTCCGGATGGCGGGTGCGGGGAAGGTAACTGGTTCTATTTTTCGGCTGCAGTCCTCTGACGAACCCGTGCTAGGAGGCATCCATGGCGATGTTTTTGGACACGCACACCCTTGCTCTTTTAGGACAAGTTTGGTGTTGTCACCCGTCCTTCTCAAGACTCACTTCCCACTCTGTCGGTATTTAGACATTGTCATCCGTGAAAATCTGAAGCTTCTTTTACCAAGCCTTCAACCAACCAGGCAGCAACACATAACATTGTACACGTGAATCTGTGACGTGACACCCAGATCTGCTTGGCCAGGCTTGCGCATCTCCCTTCGAGTGGGCTCAGAACTGAGCATCTTCCCGAAACAGTTGCAGTGTTTTGGTGGCGATACGGCTATACGGGTTCTAGGTGTAGAGGCGTTGCAGCTGATGTTGTTACACAAGGCCGTTTTGTACCCAGAGCTATTCTCTGACAACATGCCTCGACCAACTCCTCCATCATTAGCACGGCGCGAAGTCTTCTGCTTCGACGTTCAGGAATGAACGGTCGGGGATCATCGGAACATGCTTGCGGGTTTGTTTGCGACCCGCTCCTTGCGAGATGCGCGACGCCTGCGCAGCATGGGCCTTGGTGCTTAGGCGTGCGAAGAGACCTCCCCAACCGAGCTGCCCCTTCCTGACGGGCGCTCAGATCAGGCATGCTTAGGCAGGCAAAACTGCCTCGTTTTCATCTTGCAGATGCTCCTTGGGAAGCTTGAGACCTCGCTGGCACCCAGGACAGCACGGAAGAAGCCTCGGACAGGCTCGGTCGCATCCGCCTGAAACCCCGAAGTGCGATGACAGCCTCCGTTTGGATGGTGGTATCCTGCAGGAGCGAGGTGGCAGAAGCTCTGCAGGACCTGCCCGAGGTGCCGCACGGCACTTGGGCTTCTGGCACTTCGGAATCTTTCGAGCTGATGAGCACCTCACACTCTCTCACAGGCTTCTTCTCGAATGCTTTTCGGGACACCTAACTTGGACCTAAATCGTGGGAATGCGGTTTCCTTGCTTCTCCTGGTTCTTCTTCCCAGCTTCTTTGCTTTCTCAGGGGTTTTCTTGCTCACGGGCCTCTGTGCCCGAGATGGGGTTGGGGCGGGTGGGGGGGGGGGAGGATGGGATCATAACGTTCATGCTGATTGTGTCCCTGAGGCCTGAACCCTGAAACCCTTGACCCTGAAGCCTAGACCCGGACAGCAAAGCAAGCCGAAAGCCTAAAGCCCTCCACCCACTCCCATATCTCGAAACCCCACAGCACTTCAAGCCCAAAGCCTAAATCCCAAGCACTCAAGACGGCAATAAACAGAAGTTGTATCATTTCTTAGAATCAATAAATCAATGAACCGTAGTTTTTGCATAACAAATCGCCAGCTAAGGGTGAGCATGAGGTACATGCCTTCATCTCTGGTACGTAGCCCTCCGTCAATGAAGCGAAGCGCAAGAATGAAATGCATGGCCCTCCGTTGTTCTCCTTCAATTGAGGGCGAACTCAAGGTATGTGATTCTCTTCTGTCTTCCTTCAAGTAAGGGCGAACAAAAGGTACATGGCCCTCCCCTGTTGTCCCTGAACTCTTGAAGGGCGAACCTAAGTTACATGGCCCTTTTCTGTGTTCCTTCAGTGCGGCATCAAACTTTGGCATCTTCAGCAATCTTTCAAAAGCAGCCAGCAAGAGTCTTTCAAACGCAGGCGGCAACCAATCTGCTGCAGCAAATAGTGGTATCCCCCACCAATCTCTAGCAAGAGTGCTCCTTGCCCTTCAAAAGCAGCCAAAACCAGTTCCCGAGCAATTTTTCCGTAGCAGGCAGCAGGCAACTCCAGCAGCCCAAGAAAAAGCTTTCCGTTAAAGCTCAGAGACTCAAACCCTCTGCAATTTCTGTACAAGTTAAAGACCTGTACAAAGCAAGCTCAAGCTGGAGCCAGCTACACGTCGCAGACCAAACAGTGCCAGGAAGCATAAAACCAGGTCTGGAGCGGGTTAAGCATCAGAGAATTTTGTGGATGCGGAGGCATCTGCGGAAGACTCTTGCTTGTGCTTTTGAGCCAATGGAAACATACAGGCACACAGGGTTTAGGGTTTAAAAGTTCATGTCTATCCATCGTGTACGACAACGCTGAGGGGGCGAGGACGACGCTCAGAAGAAGGGCGTGAAGTAGAGCATTGATTTAGGCACCGCGATGGAAACACAAACAACATCTGATCCATCGATGTGCTGGAGGTCGTGTTCTGTCGGGCATGGGGTTTTGACATTCACACAGCGCAGCTTTCCAAGCAACGCTTTTTTTAGGGTGGACACGGAGCTGGAGAGAGCGGTTTGTGCCCGGCATAGACTCATAGACGATGCTGGCACTCATGAGCCGGAAAATGATCCTGTCATATCCTGTCAATCAACAATTCGAGGACTCATGCAGCAGCGCTGCCAGGGACACCGGCCGTCAGTCAGCCGTGCCAGAACTGAAACAATGCTGGTGGCCTCGGGCACCTCTGTTCCACAATGACTTTCAGAGCATGCTGAAAACGATCGGGTCCCACTGCCCCGGCGGGTTTTCACAGCATGTTAGCTGTCGGTCGCCCACACGAGCGAGCAGGTCAGTGAGGCACAGGGAGGGACCTAACCGTCCTAACTTCAACTAGCTCAAGACTGACGCACAGGGACAGCTTAAAGAGAAGCGGCTTTGCTTATGACCAACATAACCAGGAAACGTGTGAAGTGCGAGCACTTATAAGCACGATGTCTCTTCATGATGGTTTCGTCTTGTCGTCGAATCGTTCTTTGGCTTAGTCGGTGCATCATGCTGAGAGAAGCATGCGCGACAGACCCTGCAGCACAAAAGCCGGCTGCCTGTGATTGCCAGGATGGTTGCGAGGCGGAAGAAGAGCTTCGACTGCCATCCGCAGACCCATCGTCCCATGAGGTGGAGGCACAGCTGCGTCGTTGCTGCTTTGCATGTGTGCATGGTCGCTCTCGCAGGACAACGCCAGAGCAACGGTGGAAGATCCGCCGGAGAACGTGCAGGCCCGCTCGTGGGTGCCCATGAGAGGCCACATCCAGGCCACAATCACGTCAATTCCCTGAGTTTTGGCAGCCATAAGGGATTACATGGAGGCCACAAAGCTTAGCTCCTGGAGCGGCCACATCTAACCACAAACGTGTCAATTCCATTCAATTCCCTGGCTATTGTGCAGCCACAACAGATCATGTGAAGGCCACAAATCCCGCTCGCTCCTCTCTTCGGACTTGCATCCATGAGCGGCATCCATGGCCAAAAACGCGTAGGGATTTTGCATGTTTTTGCATTGATGGGTCTTGGCAGCCACAACAAATCGCGTAGAGGCCACAAGTCCTATCTCTCCTACGTAAAACTAGACCGCAGTCCCAAATCCCTAGATGTCGTGCGCAATATATCCAGCAATAACAGTGCGTTTTCTGGGCCAAACGGCGTCCTCCAAGGCCAACTTCAGTTGGGAGATTGACAGGCTCATTTTCGAGACTCCACGACTCCACAGTAACAATCCCACCAGGGCCGCATTTCGGTATTACCTCATAATGGTATTCCGTGAGTCGGAGCGGCACTGTGGCGAGAGCGCGATCTAGGAAGTTGAAGAGCGCCAGAGCGATGCGACGATGAATGACGCGCGCCGGGTAACTGGTGTGAGACTGTGGCAAGAAGGAGGCTTTAGTCGAGATCCTGCCGGCGTGTCGCTGGTGCGGCCAAGATGCCAGTATCCCTGTACTGCGTGTCTGTACTGAGTAAACAGCGGAATGCCGCAAACTCGTAGCGTCAGCGACCTCGTCACACACTGATGAAGCTTTTCAGCCTGTATCTGAACTTCGCTTCACGCTACTGTTGCGGTTGCTCGTGCGGGGCGGGTCGGAGAGAAGCATGCGCGACAGACCCTGCAGCACAAAAGCCGGCTGCCTGTGATTGCCAGGATGGTTGCGAGGCGGAAGAAGAGCTTCGACTGCCATCCGCAGACCCACCGTCCCATGAGGTGGAGGCACAGCTGTGTCGTTGCTGCTTTGCATGTGTGCATGGTCGCTCTTGCAGGACAACGCCAGAGCAACGGTGGAAGATCCGCCGGAGAACGTGCAGGCCCGCTCGTGGGTGCTGAAGTTCCATCTCGTGCGAATGTCCCCTAACACGGCAGCGTCTTTTAGATCACCATTCATGGGAGCCGAGATCGGACACGAAAAGTGCAAGCACGATCGAAAGATCGACTCTCCATGACTCCGCAGATTGTGCTGAGCTTTTGTTCCGTCGGCCCAGGATTCCGAGATTGAGGTCCTTGGACCGGCATTGGCCGATCCCGAGCGCTTCGACGAGGAGGTATGCGCTTGGTGTTCTTGCGCTCTTCATCGTGCTCGGATTTTTTTGTCAGCGAGGACTCCGTTGAGGCCGATGGCGACGGCGGTGGCGTGGAGCCAGAGGATGTGAAGGCGCACTTGGCAAAGCCTCGGCCCCGGCCTTTTCGACCTCCTTTGGTTCTCAGCGGCGCTGCTGCTGAGGCGGCGAAAGCGCCTTGCAACGCAACTCTTTGCGGTGCCCGGTCGCAGACGGAGGTGGCTCTTGGGCATGCGATGCCCTGCGATGCCCTGCGCGTTGCCGCCTGAATCCGCAGGATGCTGGCGGAGTCCTGGCCCAAGGACTCCCATGCCGTGAATGCCAAGGCTTGCCTGGTTCTGCTAGTTAGCTGCTAGTTGCTGCTAGTTCGCATCGTGCAGTAGCTGTTTCAGCGAGTCCGGTTTCGAGGTCGAGCTGCATCAGGGACTGAAGCAGGAGGTTCCGATCAAGAGGGAGGCCGACGAGCAGACGCAGCCGCAGCCGTTTGCACTGACAGAGCAGCGTTGGTGTGCAGGCTGTAAAGCGCGAGCTGGCTGGTTTTCCTTCCGATCCAAGCAGCCTCTTCCCCAGCCACAAGCAGGGCCGAACTCCTTGAGCATCCACCAGACCCGTTGCCACTGGCACAGGTGCGGATGACATGCCTGGGGGTGCGCTGCTGAAGCGACGCAGACGAGGCGGAGAGTGGAAAAGCGGAGACGGAAGGGCGGATCAGCTGAGAAGCTTTTTCCTTGACTAATCCGAGGAGGTGCCGGTGCAGAGAGATCGCAGGCATGCGACACTTGGGCCATGGAATCGTCGTGTGCGATCTGGCCTGAGTGGCTCTATGTGTCCTCGCTGGAAGGCTGACGCAGTCGGCGACAGGACTCCAGAAAATGCAGGCCGTTTGAGTTGCCCAGCCTGTGGCCTTGGTTCTTTTTCATTTCAGGCCGCATGATGCAAGGGCTGCCACATGCTGACCTGCTCCGCTTGGCCGGCCAGCTGGAGTCCAGGCCTCAACGCCGACAGCTTCCGCCGACCTCCTCCCTTCGCCAACCCGTGCCTGTCCGCGTGGCGCGGCATAAGGCACCGCTACCTGGGCGCCTCCGAGTGGCAGTCTGTGCCAGTGGTTGTGTAGAGTTCAAAGGTTCAAAGAACCGTGCGTTCGCGGAAACCTGCGGATAGCTGCGGATGGCTATGCTAATGCTCTCGCACAGCAATTGTGCGAATTTATTGGGTGTTCCCGGGCTGTGCCCCAAAATGAGCAGCTCGATGTTTTGCAGTGCTTTGAAGCACTGGAGGGTATCTCTCAGAGACACGGGTCTGCGGCCCTGGGTCTCTGGTAGCCTTGCGAGCAGGGGCTGCTCAAACCTCCCGGGGGCCGGGAGGCAAGGCGAAGGCAAAATTCCGCATTCGACCCGTCTCCGTCATGTTTGTCGTACCTGAAGTTCTGCCGAATCGCTGAGACACGCGGATCGTTCTGCCTCCAACTCGAGTGCTCAGAATCCCCTCGAAGCCATGGAGGATGATTACGCGCATCCTTATGAGGCTGAAGCCGTGAGCGGCTCTTCGGAGCCAGAAGTTGTCATTGTCAGGACTCCATCGAGAAGTTTACCACCTATGAAGACTACCTAGACAGCCAAATCACACCTCAGGACTGCAGAATTGGGGGATTCTCTCACAAAGGCAGACACCTTCTCTGAGCTGAGCTGGAGGACCGTTTTTACCTCGAGGAAGACGAGCTTGCTCGACAGCTCGTTGAGATAGGATGCAGGAAAGGGGAGGCCGCGGCAAGTGAAGACCTTGTTGTGTCGAGGGTCTGTCGAATGCTGCGGTCTTCGCCGCGTTCGCCGCGTTCAGGTGTTGACCAGGGAGGACTTCGCTGCAAGGCGGGAGGCGGCTGAGAACGCCAAGAAGGCGAGGTGTGCCCCGGCCAATAGACCTGCCTAAGCAGTGCCTAGCAATGCCTATGTCCTGCGACTCTGAGAGGCGCGTCTGCAGAGCGCGCCGAAGGCTGGGGCCCATCACCGTCTGCGCAGCGTCGCCCCTCGCCTCGGAGCGCGCGACTGCGCCAGGTCCTGGCAAGTGCGCAGAAAAAGCTGACGGACTTCCCAGTTCTTCGACACCTTGCATGTCGAGAGGCCGGACAGGAGCACGTGCTCAAAGTTCAGCTTGTTGTCCTCCCCCGCAAGGAATTGGTGCGCAGCGGCAAGCTCAGCACCATCATCTTCATCCGCGATAAAAATCATCGTGGACAGGATGCGGAGACCGGGTATTGAAGGCACGGGTGCAATGCCAGTGAAGTCCGTGTCAGGAGATCTCTGGATACATAGACTACGGCCACCGTCTCAAGACTGAGAACTTCGAGCCGTCCTTCCCCTGGTCCTGATGTCTCGGGATCCTTTGCTCTACTCCGTTTGGGCTGATGTCCCAGGTACTTCGAGCGGAAGAAGCGGCTCCTGCCGAAGTCGACAGACCCTCAGAGACCCTCACCCTCCCCTCAAGTACCCAGACCCGCCCGGATCCGCCCACAATCCCACCGAAGAGCTCAGCAAAAAACCCTTGAACAACGACAAAGACAAAGAAGAGTTCAAGTTTGTGAGACTACAGCAAGGCACGTTTTCCTGCATCTTGGTGTGGGATTTGTGTATTTGCGATGCTAATGGTCTTTGTGCTGTCGACTTCATCATATTGTTCTTGAAGTGAGGCTCGCAACAAAATCCATGTCTCTATGATGCTCACCAGCAAAACGGGTCGTTAATTGGATAGTGATGATGAAGGCCGCATGCGCTCGACAGGCACAACCTAATGACTGCGCTAAGGGCAACGGCAGCGCATGCGCGCGACACGCAGTGATTGATAGCAAGCAGAACCATGATCCGGGCCAGGTCCATCGTGCTGATAATTATGGCGCTGCTGCTCATTTATTGTAGGGGCTGCGCCCACAGCGCAAGTAGCAGCCCGGAGATCGGATGACGATTTTTCTTGCTGCGGCCCCCTCTCCGCACCGCTTCGACCTCCTTTTCGTCCTCTCACCCCCTAACCCCGTGCCCCCAGGACCTCGCTGATGCTCATGATGCGTCCCCCTTACGCGCTACCAACGCCCGTTCCAAAACACGCCAAACATCATGAGCATCAGCGGGGCCGCCCCCCAGCTGATGCTCATGATGCGCGCCTTTGGGGGGGGGGGGGGCATAGATGGCAGTAAAAATTTCTAGGAACGGTCCCTCAAAGCGGGCAGCCCGGTGGCCGGGAGATTGCCCTCCTGTGCCTGCAATAGCTTGCAAGCCTTGCTTTAGGTGCAAGTTGGGGGTCCCGCTGATGCTCGTGATGCGCGCCCCTGCGGCGTCGCCGGCACGTATGCCAAACTCGAAATTAGCTTGGGGATGGCAGCGAAATGCGCACATGCTCCGTGCCACGTTCCGGGCATGTTCTTGGACAGCGCTGTGCAGCGGACCGGCAGGCTCACGAAGCGCGCCGCAGGGGGCGCGCATCACGAGCAAATTTGCGGGGAAGGTGCCGGGTTGGCTGCAAAGCACCCGCAACGGCGCCTCTGATGCTCATGATGCGCACCCTCCACGGCTTCCGAAAACAAAACACACACCATGCTGTGGGGGGGAACTCATAGCCCCCTGGAAGGGAAACATACCTCAGCCGCCCACGCGCCCCTGCGCATCATGAGCCTACCGGTCCGCTACACAGCGCTGTCCGAGAACATGCCCGGCCCGGAACGTGGCACGGAGCATGCGCGCATTTCGCGGCCATCCCCAAGCTAATTTCGAGTTTGGCATCCGTGCCGGCGACGCCGCAGGGGCGCGCATCACGAGCATCAGCGGGACCCCCGTACTGGCGGCCCTCCTTTCAAAGGCTTCGTCCACAATTGCCGCACTCTCAGAAAAGGCCCTGCGCTGCCCCATCTAAGGGCTGCGCCAGGTCCGGGCAGTGCAGGCAGTCCTCTCCGAGAGGTATGTAGCACATCATAGGGGGAAGTTTGATTCCAGGTACAGAAGGCAGGCAGGCAAGCAAGGAAGGAAGGCAGGCAGGCCGGCAGGCAGGCCAGCAAGCAAGCAACACACAAGCACGCAAGCACGGAAGCACGGAAGCACGTAAGCAAGAGCGCAAGCACACACGCAAGCAAGCAAGGAAGGAAGGATTACTAGTACTAGTACTAGTGCTAGTGCTAGTACTAGTAACTGGTACTAGTACTAGTACGATTGCTAGTACTATGACTATGTCGATTTCTATTGCTATGACTATGACTTTTACTATAATAATAATACTAATAATAATAATAACTATTATTATGCTGTTACTCTTACTAGTACTTGTAGCAGTATTCGTATCAGTATTAGTATTAGCATTGGCATTGACATTGGCATTAGTGTTTGTATTAGTACTAGTATTCGTTTTCGTATTCGTATTAGCATTAGTATTAGCAGTACTATAACTATTATCATTATTATTACTACTAGTTCTGTGACTATTACTCTGACTATTACTGCAAACTTGCTCGGCAGTCGTTGTCTTTCTCGTCCTAGACCCTCCGAGTCTTGTACTCCTGGTACCGGTCCTGGTCCTAGTAGTCGTACTAGTAGTAGTAGTCGTCGTCGTCGTCGTCGTCGTCATCCGAATATTAATAGAATTCGCGGTCGTAGTGCCGCGATTCTGCTCTATTTTCGCATCACGATTGTCAGTAGGGCCGCCTCTAATTCAAATCCTGTGAGTGATATAGTTATTCGTGGCATGGGGTGGCGATCATCCTCATAGGGTTCTTACCTCACCGCGTACAACTGCTGTACCAACACCGGCCGTGCTGCACCTGGTGGGAGGGGCTCAGGAGGTCCCAAGACACGAAGCGCAAAAATCCATACAAAAAGGGGAAAAAAGGAAACAAAAACAAGCCCAAGCAGTCCACAGACCCCCAGCTGATGTGCATGATGCGCCTGCGCGGGGGGCCCAAGTGAACACCCAAGGCTTTGAAAGGAGCCTTTTGAACAGAAAACTGTTGAAACAATGCATGCTGGGAAGACACGACTCGCCTGCGCCGGCAGACCCCCAGCAGCCCGGGGAAGGGGGGCACGCGGGGTAGGGTAGGCAGGGGGTCCCAGGCACACGCCTTTTTTGGCGAGTTGCCTGCAAGGGGGGTTACCTGCCATGCCAAGGGTCTTCCCGGTGCTCGACCCCAACAGCGGGGTCGGCGCATCACAACACTACCTGCAAAACTAACGTCAATGGTGGTGTCCATGTCTGTGACACTGTGATAACGATCATGGCAATGAGAACAACATGGTGAATGTTCCAAACAGAAAACGACGCTCTGTTGGTCCACATTATCGTCAGGGTGCGACACCTGCAATTTCACCGCTCGTTGCAAACCGTCGTTCGTTTGCACAGGCAGTGATGAGCCCGTTTGTTCGTACAGGATTTCTTTTGAGGGCAGGGGAATGAGATAAGGTGGGGTTCCATCCTTGTTGTTCCTAGCCTTGCATGACATAGCTTCCTGCCACAGCCGGCATTGCGTTCCGGTGATGGTTGTGATTGTTGAAAGCCTTTCATGCTGGACTGGGTATGGTCTCTGCGAGTCCAAGGTCTGACTTGTCCTTCTACAACTGGGACACGCAGCACTCGACCTCGAACGAGAGTCCCAACTTCCAGATCCTGCCGGACCACGAGCAGGGCCTACTCTTCAAGAACAAGCGCGACCGCAAGGCCCAAAGATAGCTCTCTTAGCATCTTTAGCCACAGGAGCCACAGGAGCCGCAGGAGCCAGAGGCTTGCACCCGTGCCTTGGTGCAGGTGCTCAGCGTCGACCCCAGGTCCGAGCCTGGTGACAACTCCAAACGCCTGGAGGCGCTTCGAAGGGGATGATGCGTGTTTGCATGGCCCGGCCCGGAATGCTTCGTTTTCCATAGGTGCCGACCACCGAGTACATCCAAGCACCCTGGAGGATTCTAGCCCCGAAGGCCAAACCAAGTCCAGCGCTGTGGCAGCTAAGGTGGTGATCTTCGATCATATGACGCGTAAGAAAAGCTGAAGTGCAGCTTCCGAGCTTGTCCTCCCAGGGACGAGAATTGGTTTAAGAGGCACATCGCATGTCCAAGTACTCTCTGCACTATCTGGCATACATATTGTGCTTCATAGCTGAGAAGATGCAAGAATCTTCGGCCGTTTCACATCCGCAGATCGAGTTTGTCTGTCTCACCACTACAAGCGTTGATAACACCTCCACTCGCTTCAGAGTAGAGTAAGGCGAATTCGACTGACATGTAAAAGATGCGGCTTGGAGACACCAGGGAAGCTGCGACGGTGCCTGCTTGTTGTCCCGGCTTCAACATCGTCCGGCAGAGGCCAGTTTGGCCCCAGGCTACGGTCCACTGCCAGCAACCCGCCAGGATAGGCTACTTACACCAGGTCGTCAACATGGGAACACACCAGCAGTCTGAGTCCTTGAAGCAGTGGGAGTCTGCTACAGTCCCTTCTGACTGAACACCTCCCAGCACCTCCTTAGCATAGAGGGAAGAAAAATGGATCCGCCCCTGGCTCCAAGCCCGGGGAGGCGTCCGACCGAAGTCGCATCGCAATCCCGGAACATCCGTTCTGGTGCTCACCTAGGCGCTGGCTTTTGGGTCTCCTCGCTGTGGCCTCGGAGAACCTCGGAGTGTGCAGCAGCTCGCGACCTTCGTTGAAGCCCAGGTCTTGGTCGCGTGGTTTCAGGGCCCGACTTCCGAGGGCTTCTCAGGTCTCTTCCAGGCGAGGCTTGCGAGTTGAACAGGGCCAGGGGGGGGAACGCGTCGGGACGCTTCTCTCCAACAGCCTTGGCATGCCTTGGCAGATCACACCAGAGGCACTGACAAACCCTGGAAAGCCAGAAGCCATGCCAAGCTAAACGAGAACCTGTCGATGGCCGTGCTGCGAAGATCCCCGGGCAAGCGATTGTTGGTCCGAGAAAGCGTCGTGAAATGGGATCTTCGGCGACACCGCCAAGAGTATTGCTGGAAGAAGCGACGTCGACTGCCTCCGAAGAAGAGCAAGGAAAGACGGCCTGGTGATGCCGGGTGGCCGTGCTAGCGTCCCGCTGACTGGTGCAATTAATCTTTGGAGGGCGCGCGACGGCATTCTCCGACGAGTCGACCACGGGCGTTCCTGGCAAAGCCAGTAGTTGCGTTTGTGTAGGATTGCAGTGTCCAGCTTGCAACCCGCCCGTTCTCGCAGGCGGACAGGAATGCCCAGCTTGCTGCAATCGCTCGGCGGGTGCAGCACTTTGTGAAGCTTGCGCCGGCTGTTGCCTGCGTGCAGTTGCTGGTGCAACGTGTGCTGCAGAGGCAGCCCCGACATCCTACAGCGGAAAGAAGCTCATCATCAAGTTGCCCAAGGCCAAAGGGCCTAAGGAATCCGTGTACCGTCGTGAGAGGCATCGACAGCAACAGCCGTTTTCCGATTTTTCAGGCCCAAGGCTTCCAGACGATGGCCGACATCCCCAAGGTGGTGTGCCACTGCGCTTCTGGGCCGGGGGCGGGGGCAGGGCTCATTCTCGGTTTCATCAGCAGGAGCAGTTTGTGCAGCCGGTGGAGCGCAACACACGCCACCAGAGGAAGAACTTCTGGGCCGCGACCTTAAGAGGGGCTTTCGAAAGGGTGCGCTGAATGTTGGCAACCGAGGAATTCTCCAGGGCCGGCTACAATGTCAGCGAGGTGCCACTGCTTGCATGTGCGCGCTCTCCGCGCTCTGCCAGCTCTCCTCCTCTCGCTCCCCCCCCAACACAAGAGGTCTTCGTCCGATACGAGGGTCTGACGCCCTGGAAGCGCGTGGGCGAGGCCTGCGTGATGGACGGGGTGCAGAAGAGAAGCAGAGTCATTGAGCCTGCCGAGGTCGTTCACAAGGAGGGCGACTTCAGGGAAGCGATTCAGTGCCAGTACAAGTATTTGATCAGACGCCCGGCCCTTGGAGGAAGAGAGTCGGAAGCATACAGCAGGGAATCTCTGCCTCCACCCAGGTGCCTACTATCTTTATCGGAAGTTCCGCTATTGGTACCCGAAGTCGAACCCGGTCGGGCCATGTGAAGTCGGAGAAGCTCTTCTAGATGCACTGAATGTCAGGTGCAGTTCGGCTACACAGACACTGAAGGTGAGATAGTGCCTTGGGCGGCACTTGCGCACGTGGGCTTCTCGCCTCACGGCTTCCTCTGAGCTCTTATAAGGTGGTGGTTGACGATGGGCCTCCGGATCTGGGCCTGGAGCCGCAAGAGCTCAAGGCAGGCCTGGGCACCATCTTCCGGTTGTGGCCAGCAGCACCCAGCACAGGAAATGCTGCTGAGAAGCGGGTTCCTTGGGGCTAACAAGCCCCGACACTGGCGGCACATGCACCAGAACATCAAGGATCTGTACTCAACCAAGAAGGACGCGGCGCTTGCCTATGCGGCAACAACAAAGGTGAAGTCGTCGCAATTCTTGTGCAGCGCTCTTCGGGGATGCGCAGGACCACCACAGAAAGAAGAGTTGGCTCATGAAGCGAGAATACAACTACAGGCGCAGTCGGGGCGATGTGCCAGCAGGAAGCTGCCCAAGAGCCACTATTTCAGAACACCGCCAGCTGTCAGCATGTGCAGGGTCGACGCACATAAGTGGCCGCGCACTCGGAAGAACTCACATGCAGGCAGGGGCTTGCCTTGTCTGGTGGCGAAGGTGGAATCCCCGGAAGTACCGTGGGCGCTACATGCAAGTGCAGACCAGGAAGCGGGGTATCGAAGCGGCCTCGGGGCAGCTCTCTTGCCAGCTTGCATCCCGTGTGTACACCGTGGTCCCGTGAAAGACTTCAGGTCACGGGGACAGGTCCATCGAGATGACTTCCCTTTTCCGTGCTCCGTGCAATTGTGGCAGTGTTGCCCTGTGCTATCGTGGTCTCACCCAGGAAGAGATGGGAGGTGCTTTAAAAAAGACGGCTTTCCCTGCACATCCGTCTGAAGCTCCGTCAGCTTCCCTTGAGCTCGAGTTCCTGTCCGAAGCGATTGGGCTGCGCACCCTTTGCCAGAGATACTGTTTTCATCGGCGTACTTGAGCGAGAGCCGGTTGACGCATAGTTGGACTTCCGGCGCGGTGTTTAGTTCAACTCGCCCTGCCGCCATGGCTGTAGATTCGCTGGCACAGAGGCCGAGAGTAGGGAAGGGCGGAGGGGTCAGCGACGGAAGCGATGCCAATGTGCACACTTGTGCTGCAAGGTCGGCTCCATTGGGCCAAGGCCAAGGCCAGAGCGATAAGATCTGGGCCCGGCTCTCGGCCTGTGAAGAAACACCAAAGCAAGGTCTCGGCTTTGGCGAGGGCGAGGTGGCGATGAAGATCCTGCTCGCCGAGCTACGCTGCATCAAGGTCGATGCCCAAGGTCCTCGTCTCATCTCAGGTTCGCCGGATTTCAGCAGACCATGGGTCCAAGACGACGAATGAGGTCATGTCGCGTGCACAAAGTTGCACCAGAAGCTGAAACGTGTGTGGCTTCAAGGATACATACTGTGCCGATCCCCGAGTTTTGCCATGAAGATAGTACTGCTGCAAAGCTCAGTGAAAACCAACACGAGGCAGGGACGGTGATGACATCGTGGACCTGGACGATGGATCAGCAGTGATGAGCATGTGACTCAAACTGAAGCTGCTGCAGCTACTGTTCAATGGTTCTCGACGTCACTGGAGCGGTGCAGACGAAGTGAGGCTTGGACGTGGGAGGGCTCATTTCCTCGAGCCCCGCGACCAGTGCAGCGCTCCAGGCTTCGATGGGCGAAGCCGCTTCGAGTCACTCGCCGCAGTGTATCCAATGTATCCTGCTTTACGATGTGAAGGCGGGGCGGTACGTGTCGTGTGTCCGGCACCCGGCTGCAAGCCCAGAAGGATGGAACAGAGGGGTTGAGAGTTGCAGGTCTGTGCGGTGGAGTTCCATCCCCAGGACCCCGAAAGCTCCCGGAAGGAGGTGTCGGTGAAGCGGTCGCAAGCCAGGAGGGGATTCTGGACCTGCACGTGGAAAGCGTGTGCCCGTTGGATGATCCAGGCACTTGGGCATCTGTATATGAGGCATCCTGAGAATTCCCCTGGAAACAAAGAGGCGACTCGCTGGCCGAGCCCTTCTGGTTTCTCGAGGCCTTTCTGTTCTTTGCTCCTTGGCCCCTTGTTTTCAGAATGTCTTGGCAGGTCGCCCGGTCGCACCAGCTGAGAGCCTCCAGCACCGCTCGCCCCTAGAAAAAAAGATGGGCATTTCAATCTGTCGCCCTCCTTGCGGGCTGGGTTCCTGCCTCCTTCAAAAAAGCACGACATGTTTCACATCCTTGCATCAGCTCTCAGATGGGTTTGGACGTCTGCAGCCGCAGCATGACGTCACCATTCCAGCACAGCTTTTACACCCTAGCCGTCGTCCTCCAGAGTCCTTAAAGAGAGGGAAGGTCTGCTTCACAAGGTCCCTTTTAACAAAAGAGGCAAAAGAATGGCCTATAGAGTTCTTGTCGGGTGCGCCTCTCTGATGAGCCTCTGATGGAAGGAAGAGCCGGAGCCTCGGTGGGCCTCTGTGGGCCTTGGCCTGGCTCTGCCTGGCCCCTCTGGGAGGCCACGGAGCTGCTGCGAAGAGCCCAGCAGCTCCGGCAAGAGCTCCAAGCGGAGGCGTTGCCCAGAGCTCCTTGGAGAAACGTATGCCGTAGATGGCAGCACAGGCGCCGGCAGCGCCCAACCGGACGCTGCCGTCACAAGAGCCGCAGTCTCAGGCATCAACGAAATCTGCCTCGAGAGAATTGACTATCATTGACTGAAGCCTTAAAGGGAGGCATCTGTGAAACATCTCGGGCCATGGCGGCCGCGGTGTCGGTGCCAGCGACTCCGGTCACGGGCCAGCTGCTTCGCTTCGCAGGCCTTTCTTTGCACTCTCGAATGTGCTTCTACCGTGCCTAAACTGGTGCCGGCCTCTAGGTGCACCACCGAGTGAGCAGCTGGTCTTCGGCAGCCACTTGCATTGGCTTCCACCCCGACCGACAAGACGGTCCTGGTGCACGAGCCACTTGTCAGAGGGGGGGGGGGGTGTGTTCGGCAGGTTTGTCCTGTCATAGCCAAGCGAGACTGCCAGCTATCATGCGAGCGGTTCTGCGGACGTTCCTTGCTTTTGCTTTCAGGTCTTCAGCCTGGCTCGCACGTCCCAGCGCCTGCGTCAGCTGCGAGTGCGAGACGAGGCTTTGGGGACTCTGCCCCTGGGCTCTTCGCATGTGCGAGCATCTGCGAGCGCAGGACCGGAGCCGCTGCTCTGCAGAAGTGATGTCCTGGCCTGAGAAGTCGCGCCGCTCTTAGCGTGGTGATTTGATGCGCAGAGGCTGGACTTCGAGCGCAAAGGCTTTCTGAAGATGCCGCAGATCTTGGCCCCGGCCAGTTGTTGAACTTCGTTCTCTTCGCTTTGCTTGTGGGCAACGTGGGTGTTGAGGAGGAGGTGGACTCACTGAGCGAGCTGGTGAGCGCCACCTGCCGTGGCTGGGACTTCTTACGGTACGGTCGCTTTCTATAGGTTGCTTTGGCACACCAGTGTATGTATCCGAGGCTCTGAAGAGTGTGTGCTCGAGGCACTCCGGCATCAGATCAGGGTGACCCGTCGGCAGGTCACGGCGAGTGGAACATTCACCCGCACCTTTTCACCCCAAAGTTCTGGATCTCGAAGGGAGAGATTCAGGTGCAGTATGGCGCGGCGAGCGCTACATCTTGCTGGGATATTGCTGCTTGCCGGGCCAAGCTGAGAAGCCTGGAGAGACGCCGGGACCCCAGCCGCACACACGTCGCGTGGCTTGAACATGTATCTCCGCATCTATGTGGCTCTCTTTTAGGTGGAGAGATCAGCTTCCTTCAGTACTTCAACTTACATCGCCACTGCGGGGAGCTCCGGGAGCTGGCTTTGTCTCCGCGCTTCGCCTTCTGGGCTTCCCGGCTCCTGGGCGTGCCGAGGGTGCGCCGGGGGGCCGAGCGCAGAGCAGCGCAGAGCAGCGCTCTGTGTGTGTGTGTGTGCGCGCGTGTGTGCGTGTGTGTGTGTGGGTGTGGGGTGCCACGTGGACTTGGGAGCTCTGGGACTCTGCCACGAGGTCTCTATCAGGATGCCCTCTTCGAGAAGCGCCCAGGTGCCAGCGCTTGCGTTGAGCGATGGGTGTCGTGGCTCTGGTGGCTCTGGTGGCTGAGGTGATGGGGCCACCGACTGGCATTCAGATTTGGGCTTGGCCCCTTTCGATACCAACAGCCCTTTGCCTCTCCCAGTGACGATGCGCCCGTGTCCTTGCACTGCCTTGCACCGCCAACTGAGGCTTTGTGACCATATGGTTGCCTCTAACATCCATTTCGATGAAGGGCTCGTCCCTGGTATATGCCATTAGCAGCCACAAAGATTTCGTGCCAGCCCCAGGCGTGCAGGTTTCAAGGAAGAGACATGAGAGCCTTGTAAAGGCACGAAAGCGCGGCATGTCACCGCATTCCTGGATAGCAGCTGAGGCACTTCCCTTCCTCGGAGATGTTGACGAAGACCTGAGTGGCAGGTACAAGCTCCAGCGCCTGGAACTCGGCTCCAGACACTTCGGTGACTGTTTTGTCGGTATCTGGAGCCCAGGCACTGGTGGCCTTGTTCCCGGGGACGCCACTGCGCACCACGGCTGGACGTTGCACAGCGCCGCAGGCATCCCAAAGACGGCTCCGCCGCGGCTGGCGTGGACCCTGGGCTTCGTAGCCGATGGAGCACGGCTCCGGCGTGGTGAGCTGGAGCTTGGGGAGGACGCCGTGTCCTACGAGGCCTGGGCCAAAGAGCTCGGGCCGGGTGCACGAGTGGAGCATCCCATGGTTCCCCTGCTGCCCGCAGCTTGAGGGAAAAGGACTCCGATCCGCGATGCGTTGGCTTGTTGCCCGCACCGCTGTGCATATGGCTGTGCCATGCTGTGCCCTTGCCCAAGGCTCTCCACTCGAGCATTAGCTGAGCTGGAGCTGATTTTGGCCGAGGACCCTCTCTCTGGCGGGGCTCTCAGCTTCCTTTGCACTCTTCAGCAGGGCAGCCGAGTGCAAAGAGGCGGGGGGAAAGCTCACGAAGCGGTCGCCAAGCACGGCGAACCTGCTGCAGTCGCTACAGTCCAGGCCACGGGCGGGTTGTCTTCAGCGGGGGAGGCAGGGGCACTCTGAGGGGCACAGCCTCCAGGTTTCGCCTCTTTGGCTTCGGATCCCAGCGAAGCGAATTGGTGAGCCCTTGTGACCCCAGACTGAAAGAAGTGCTCTTGCCAGGGTTTCTACAGTCAGCGATCGCAATTAGCCACATGCTCCCAGCTCACAACGCACCAAACCAGCAACACGAGCAAAGAACCACCATGCAAACTACTTAGCACCGTCTTCGCCAAAAACACCAGCAAGCAACAATAGCACAAGCTGGGCAGAAAAGCAAGCGCTAGGCAACACAAATCAAGACACAAGCGCCCACACATCGAGACACATTCCTAAGTGACGCGACCGAAACATACACATTGCTGGAGTTGCGAGTGCACGTTCACGATGCTGCTCGGCTCAGCGCAGGCGGCTCCAGAAGAGGCACGGGCGGCATCGGTGGCCCCACGGCTCGAAGGCACCCTCTGGGCTTGAGGGAGCGACCTGACCCCTCCTTCGTGTGTTCTTGCAGACTTCGACGGCCTCTGCTTGAAGCTGCAGACGCTGGAGCTCACCCCAAGCGCGGCGCGCAAGATCAGGCTGGCTGAGAAGTGTTCCACAGCAGATGGGGCGCGGAGCCTGGCGGGCCGCGCGGCTCCGCGCGATGCTCCGCGCCCGCCCACGTGCGCGCGCGACTCTGCGCCGGCACAGGGCTGCCGAGTCCGTCTGGCTGCGATGCGGCCTCGACCTGGGCCAGGGCCCTGCGAGAGCTCTCCGGAAATTCGGCCGGGTTTTTTTGTCGCTTGCTTCGCTGCGAGGCCGCGGTCAGGAGGACCTCTTGGTCACCTGCCCCACTGCAGGCCTCGCGGCAGCCTGGAGTCGAGAGCGGCGCCTTCAGACGCGACTTTTCATGGGCTGTGCAGATAGCCGGCTCCTGGCGATTCAACACACATCCTTTCACAGCAAGGAAGTGTCGCCGACCCAGGGTTCTCGATTGCAGTGCGCAGCGACTCTCATCTGTCAGTCTTGGCAATCAGGTCGGCCGAGTTTCGAACATTGGCCAGCCTTCCGTGGGAAACTCAGGATGCGACTCAGCCACCAGAGGCATGTCGATGCGCTCCTGCACAGGTTGCAAGTGAAGCTGCTGATCAAAGGGCAGCGAAAAGGCAGCGACTTCTTCTTCGGCCGGTGTCATCTGTTCATCTGCTGGTGCTGCTGGTGTCCTGCACCTGGTTGTCCCAATCATCCCACTCACCCTTCTGGGGGCTAGACTGTTGATCTTTCGTGCGCTCGATCTAGCACTTGAAGTCTGCATGAGCAGCCAGGGAATCCCAGTAAGCGAATTACTTAAGACAGTCGTTGCAGTTGGTCTTGCGGCCAGCTGAGTGAGGGATCGTGATGCCCGGCGCGGGACCTCTCTTCGGAGATGGCCCGCGGACGACTGCAACCCCGAATGAAAATGAGGGAAGCTTTCACTCGAGAAGTGGATGGTTTTAGCAAGTGCCGAAGGGGTGGGTGTGTTCACGCATGACCCATTCCCTCGTTCGGAGCGAGACCAAAGCCACTACCCGTTGAGCTGTTGCTCGACCTCCCCAAACGACGCCCACGGGGGCGGGAAGAGAATGAATGAGTGAGTGGTTGGCAGGTGGCGCGGCGCACTCGACCAACTCTTCCAACTCCGCGCAGATGCAAACTATTGCCCAGGCCATCTGTTGACTTTCTGGTGCCCCTGTGTGCAAGCATCTTGAAGACCGGATCAGAGTAATGCAGCTTTGAAGGCTGAGCTGCTCTGGTTTGCAGCCGGTGCCCAAGAGAGACAGAGCGCCTTAAGTAATTCCTGGCGGAGCTTCACAGCCCCCGTCCACTACTTTTAGGCCCTGCTGGACCCGGGGAGCGCTTGCCCCTTCGTTGCGGAGCTGACAGACGGAGGCCCATATATCATATATAATATATAAGTATATAAGATATATGATATAATAATAAAATATACTCTGTGAAGAGAAGAGACGGTTGGCCCCCGCTTCCTTTGAGGGAAGGCCGGAGCCGCTGCCGTTGGCCGGCTCCAGCTCTCGCTGGAGCTGACGAGCAAAGGAGAAGGCAAAAGGGCTTTGCAGGGGGGCTGGGCTCTGGGATCCCTGGGGATCATCTCCGGGTCCCAGAAAGGGTTTCGCGCTCGTTCTAACTCCGCAGAGCAAATGCAGGTCCTCGCAGGCCGCTGCCGACCGATGAGTGCGGGGTGCTCAGAGGCGTTGCGTGCCAGCAGAGTCTTCAAGAAGAGGGCCTCAGTGATTCAGGCAACATCCATGTCAGACTTTGGCTTGGCACCTTCAGCCCCCTGGTGACTCCGAGCTCGGTTGCCGAACTACGTGCTGTGCTAAAGCTGGGGCAGCAGCAGGAGATCAGTATGAGTGTGCAGAAAGATGCTTTGGGCATCGGTCGCGATGTGGTCTTCGGGCAGTCGGCGGTGTCAGCATCGAGCATCTGGCAGGTTCAGAGAGAAACTTTCGCTTGCAAGGGGCCCTGTCCCGCTTGCATCTTCGTGCAACTGTGGAGCGGTGCAGAGCTTTGTGGTCTTGCGAAGCTGCTGCTCGAACCTTTCCACAAGGAATCCGCACAAGAGCTGATCAGTTTGCAGGGATACAGGACCATTTTCGATGGTGAGCTGGACGTCTCTGCCGTCGTCAACGACACGAGCATTGGAAAGCTTCAGGTTTGTGCTCATGCTGGGCTGGCGCCGGTGCTGTTGCAACTCTCTCGAGAAGCACCGCAGCTGGAAGTTCATGTCGATCCTCGGGATGTCTCCTCCGCCTTGCTGCTGTTAGCCCATCAGAGCTTCGACTTGATTGCTGAGGGCCTCAAGGCGGCGGTTCTGCAGCACCTGGAGGGAAAGCAGCTGGCAGAAGCTCTTCAAGATCTAGAGCCGCTCTTGACGTTTACGGAAGCCTCTGCCCTTGTGAATAGCATCAAGGAGGGAGGAAGCCGTTCCGTCGAAACTTCGAGATTTCTGGAGCTACTTCGGTCACGTATGCTTGCGGTGCAAGAAAGCTTTGACCAAGTGATTCGTGAAGTTGGGGACGAAGCTGGAAGCTTGGCCTTGGATTTCCTGGAGGTCGGCAACCCTGCTTGGCTGCAGAGGCAGGATGTGGCCAGAGCTCTGAAATTCCGCGGCCTGGACTTGAGCTGGGCCTGCTTGGAAGGCGTCTTCCTGGCCCTCGGCTGCCCTGAGCCTTCCGGCGCCGTTTGTGCGGAGAAGTTCGCCCGACTCTTCCGGCACCGAGCGGAGCTCACAAAGCGGAGACGGGCCCGGCTCCGGCACTTGGAAGCCGAGGCCTTGGCTCAGTTGCGGGCCGTGAGGGGCCCAAACGGATCGAGGCAGCGGATGGAGGAACTTGTGCTGAGGCATTCCCGGGCCGACGGGACGCTCGATGCCCTCGGCTTGACGGTGATGCTTGCAGAGGAGGGTCCAAGTCTGCCACGGACGGATGTGGATGATCTGGTGCAGTTGCTCTTCGAGCGGTTTGGAGTGAAGCCAGGGGGCCGTGTGTCATCAACCCGCGTTCTGCAGTGGCTTGTTGGCACGCAAGGGTCAGTGATTCAATCGTCTCTTCGAGACGTGGACTTGAACTCGGCTTCACAGCCAGCACAGTTGCTGGCCAAATTGGCCGCTGCAAAATTACCCGCACAGGTGCCACTGAAGGCCGAGCCCCAGCCGGAACCTGTGACGTCACCTTTGACGAAGCAGGCCCCTGCGGAAGTTTGCAGGAGCACAGCAGACGCTGAGGCAACAGTGCAGGCAACGCTGCAACTGGCACGGCCATTGAGAAGCGGCATGGAGCAGCAGCTGTCAGAAGTTCTCGCTGCGTCCCTGGGTCTGGAGACAGCTAGGCTTCGCGTCCTTGGGGCCGAAGAAGGTGCCTCGCGCATCTGTGTGCAGATGCGACCCCGGTCCTCGTCTTCCCAAGATGTCGTGGCGAAGCTCGCCCGTCAGCTGGGGGATCCTGCCTCGAGCCTCGCAGCCAGGCCCTCAGAGTCGGAAGAACACACAGCACTTCGCTTAGTGCGCCCGGGGCGCGATGCGCCGCGCGTGCTAAGCGGCCGTCTGTGCAGAGAGCCGAGGCCAGTTCGCTTGGCGCCTACTTCTGCTGACGTGCGGGGATCTGGTTCTCGGAGATCGCGCCTTCCGCACTCGGACACTCGGAGCGCGCCAGCAGAGAAGGCTCGGCAGGTGACTTGAGATGGGGAAAAGTTGGTCGCTGCAGAGGCGTGCTAGGAGAATTCGTCTTCGTCCTCGTCCTCAGTGGTCGTAGCAGCCGCGAAATCGCAACTGCAATGTGGCCCCCCGCAGAGAACACTTCGCAGCTCACGAAACATTCTGGTTCGACCCTTCGAGTCCTAACGGCGCAGGCAGCTCCCGCGCAAGATGAACGAGTGCTCTTCGATGCTCTTTTCTGAGCTCTCCAGCCAGGCTTGGCACTTGTGGAATCGAGTTTGCAGGGACGTTGAGCTACTGAGCTGCGGCTCAGGGTTTTGGGCACCGGGTGCATCTGAAGGGTTTTCTGGGTCGAGTCTGCATGCTGCAAGTAGAGCGGATGCCAGTGATCTGCTTGCACGTCGAAGCGAGATGCTTATAGATGGCTACCAGATTCACTGTGCGTCGTAGCATAAACACTGGTAAGGTCGGTAAGGCAATTTAAGCGAAGACTGCTCCAACTGAACTGGAAGCACTTCTCAGGCCTTCGGTGAATGCTTTTGCCATCAATTTCGTGGACTTCTCGGACTGCTGTCTGCCCTCGTCGCAGGATCGTGGGAAGTGCACTTCTATCAGCAAGCAGCCGTGTCACGCCGTGGCAACTTCCTGTCCTCCAAGCCTTGGCGCTCAAACTCGCGAGGAATCGCCTTGATTGGCCATCCAGTGCTGCGCAAATGCAAGCCGTAAAATCGAAGAGGCACGCCGCTGGAACATGTTGGCATGCGGCTATGAGCCAAGGGACCGTGGTTTCGTCAAGTGGAAGGCCGTCCAGTAGTTGGAGAAGCTTGAGTTTCGTGTCTGTGAGCAAAGGCTCCGGCGATTTCTTTGGTCCGGAATCTGACCTCGCCAAGCGAGTTCAGGTGCAGCAGTGAGTCGAAATGCACCGCAAGGCCAAAGCAAAACAAGTAGCTCCACAGACTAACCCCACTGACAGCCTTCGCTACAGGATTACATTGGCACATTTTAGCACCCTCACGTGAAAGTGTGGTACGATGCGCTTTGCTCGCTTGGCGACGCTTCAAGCGGTACGAGGGACGACCGCTCGCCAGCCTCGGCCATTTGTTCGCAACAGCCCTTAATTGCAGGAGGTGTTTCAAGATTAACCAATTGAGTGGACGCTTCTTCTGAATTGCACGCAAGCGTCGAGACATTCTGGACTCTAGACGTTGTGTTTGACCGAGTGACACGGATAATGACTGCGGCAGTTATGGCCCTTGCCTCCACATCTGCTGCTCACAGAGCAGTACAGCTTTCCTACTTACACCGGAAGCGAAGTCCTACGTCACTGAATGCCGGCAATCGCATCCTTGTGCCACACCGCCAACGCTGCGTATCTGCCCGAGCAAGTGACTAACCATACGCCATGAAAAGAACGGATTTGCCATCGTCCAGACGGGGGCAGAAGCCAAGCAGCTAGCCAACAAGGTGCAGGCCCTAGATTAGAAGCTCGACAAGCTCGAAAAAACCGCTCAAGGCCAGTAGCGTTCAGTTGAACTGTTTAGCCTGGGGCCCTTGCTTTTGAGCCACAACAGCTCCTTGGCCACGCAACACACTGACGCTGTCGGCTGTCACACCGCATACGCCGCCTGATACGGCAGATGGGTGCTCTGGTAATGGGGACGCCAGGATAAACAAGCCCCGCCTTGCCTGCTGGACGCCCCGGCGCCATCTGGGCCAGCCTTGGATTAGACTCAGACCTTTGTTAGTTAGGTTATTAGGGAGCCCCCTGTTTGCCCATATGCCTGACACGACTCCGCACTATTGCACCTGTTCACAAATGTGGCTCTGCCGATCGGTTCACGAACTATGGGCGAATCAGCATGCTGTGTAGTTGTCAGAAAGTCGGACGACCTGTGTTTGAAGCGCCTCTTGCCGCATGTTGATCCGCTGCTTGACGCAAGCCAAGCTGGGTTCCGCTAAGCAAGTCTACACGTTGCAGCCTCTCGCCGAGCCGCCCATTCACCGGCCCCTCCTGGAGCACCCGCCAGTTCGCGTTCAATTAATGCCGACATTGCCGCACGGCAGTCTGACGGTGAGGCTTGGCGCTCGCAGGATGACGAGGTCCCTGGCGAGGAGGAGGCCGTCGTGGTGGCAGGGCCGCATGCGGACAGGGCACCCGGGACTCGCGGCCCCACCTGCGATTCGCCCATCGAACGGGGTTGCAGCAAGCCGTCGCCGGTGCTGGGCCTGACGATGCTGCACGCGGGTGGAAGCTCTTTGTCCTCGCACCCGGCATGCTCCCGCACCGCGAGCCTGGCCAGCAGCTCGAACGGCGCGTAGATACCGTCAAGCCGCGGCGACTGGGCGTTTTACCTACGAGCAGCCTGCTCCTCCACCCCCGCACAGCTTGCCCGGCGCCGACAGAAGGGGCCGACATCGACCGCCGAGCGGTATGCGCCGCCGCGCTCGTCCACCTCGGACTCGGCGAGCTCTCCGCTGCGAGCCGGGCGCTCACGGCGGAACCGCTCGCCGACGTGAATGCAGCAACGCTCGCCGAGCTGCGCGATCCCCGCCGCCGTCACCAGACGCCAGTCGCCTTCAATTATGTCCTTGCTGATCATGCCACCGGCCAAAAGCTGCTGCTGGCCAACCTACGCGCCATCCGACGCGGCTCGGCTGCGCCCCTTCAGGCACGACCAACGAGCACCTGCGTTTGATGCTTGACGACCCCGACGACCTCTTCCTGCTCCACCAAGCAGGTGCCGATTGGCTAACGCTAACGTGCCGGCACCTGTCCTGGCCGCCGCGCGCCTTGGTCGATTCGTCGCGCTGCGAACGCCGAATGGCTGTGTGCGTGCCTTTGTGGTCGGGGATGTCTTCCGCCGCTTGTCGCTCGCGCCTTGGCCGGCCAGCACTTTGCCGGAGCGCTCCAGGTTGCTTGCCTGCATGCCCTACCCGTTCGGCCTCAGCACGAGCGCAGGCTGCGCGCAGGCACCGAGGCACTCTACAAGCTCTTCCAGGTCACCACTAACCCGCACCACCGTCCTGTCGGTCGATGTCGCTTCCCTCTACGGCGCTCCCTGATGCCTTCTGGGACCACGCCTCGGTCCAGCCAAACCAGGGCAACGTTTGGGTCGGAGCGCGGCCCGTAGGGACGTCATACGGTATAGTAAGCTGCGCCGAAACGCGCGGCAGACTCGTGAGGCTCATGCCAAGGACAAGGGTCCAAAGAAAAAAAATTATGGAACCTGCCCCCGGATCGCAAAAGGCTCCTAGTGCTCGGTTCACCCGTGCCAGAGGGGGCAGGCCGTTGGCGGCGACCTCAATGCACCGCGCGTCACTGACGGGGACATCGGCGATCATGTCAGCGACCGACGACGTGGGCGACAACATGCTCCAGCGGAAGTGCTCGCGATGCTGAGACACCGGACATTGCACAGGCTGAGCGGTGGTCACCGAGCGGTCTCGGAAGCGGCACACGCGCGGTGTCGGGGAGCGTCGGCGCAGGCGCCTTAACAGGAGCACCCGGAAGTGCTCGGGGGGTAGGGCGACAGCAGCGGACGTGGGGGGATTGTGAGCCCTCGGCCTGAGTGGGGGCCAGGTTGCGAAAGCCAATGCGGACGCGATGGGCGACTGCACTCCGAGTACTCGCGCATACGCCCGAGTACGCTCGAGTACGCTCGAGCACGCTCGAGTACGCTCGAGTGCGTTCGAGTATGCTCGAGTGCGTTCGAGTATGCTCGGTATGCTCGAGTATGTTCGAGTACGCTCGAGTATGCTCCAATATGCTAGAGTACGCCGGAGTGGCACTACAATGCATATAGCAGTCGACTATAGTCGTCACTATAGTACTCGTGCATACCCGCACATACTCGCTTGTACTTATACAATACTCGCGCATACACGTCCATACTCGCACATGCCGGCGCATACCCGCGCATACCCGCGCATGCTCGCGCATACTCGCGCACACCCGCGCATAATCGCGCATACCCGCGTATGCTCGCACATACCCACACATACTCGCACATACTCGGGCATACCCACGCATACCCGGCGCTATCCGCGACCACAATCTGCAAACGCGCTTTCCCGCCACAATGAAGGCAGCAGCGCTCGGGACGCAGGGTGGAGGTGAAAAAGGTGCGTGTCGAGCGCATGCTCGTCACAAGGATGGCGCCATCACGTGGGCCGGCGAACCGCAGCCGGGTGCTGACACCCGCCTTGGCGCGGCCGTCCAGGCCGTTGCCCGCCGCAAGCGGCGCAAAACGTACAACCCGAGCTCGTGAGTGTGCGATGGGCGCGTCTCGTCGTCATCGGGGTCGAGGTCGGCGGGTGCTTTGGATCCCCGCTGTTGCCGCCATGCGCGCGTTCGCGGCGTTGCTGCTGGAATTGCTGCGGGGAAAGTAGTAGCGAGCGAGTGCTGCGCAGCGACGGAGATGAGGCCACTCCAGCGCAGCACCCGCACTGCCTGGGCCAAACTGCGGGCAGCTGCTGGCGCGCTGGCGGCACGCGCACGGGCAAGGTGGCGGACATAGCTTCTGTTTGCATCATGCAGTGATGGCTTATAAGTGGTGCGCCTGCCCTCGCCAGAGGTGCGAGGCGCTATCTTTTCACTGCTGAGTGCGTGGACGGTTGTTTCAGGTCCGAGTCTTTCAGCATTGCTCGAGCTGGCGGTGACTCTGGGCTGTGTTTCAATTGGCGCCAATCGCCGTGGTTTGGACGTTCTCAAGTTTCTGAAGCCTGATGGTCACCCTGTCGGCAAATCTTGCCTGGTTCACTTGGGTAGTTTGCTTGATAATGCTGGGGACATTGGACCCCGAGCTCAATCGCCGACACGGTTTGGCCGGAGCTGATTTCCAAGCTTTCAATCGAGTTGGGAAGGATGCTTGCGTTCCCAGTTGCTATGCTGCCTGCGCACAGCTTGGCTGAACAAAGCATTCCTTCGAAAGTTGGA